TCTTCCAAAGACCTCCTGCTTTCCAGCTCCCTTGTCAACTCCTCCCATACTCACCTCCAGGACTTCTCTAGCTCTAGAGTCTCTCCCATCCTGTGGAACTTTTTACCCCAACCTGTCCATCTATCTCCTACTCTGACTGCCTTTAGGCAATCCCTAAATATTAATCTCTTCAGAGAAGCCTATCCCACATCAAACTAACCACTGAACCAATATGTTCTCAAACAATTCCTCCCCACACAGCTACCTCCTCATATATCACTTGCCCCTCCCTTTTAGATTGTACACCCTCATGGGCAGGGCCCTCCTTACCATCTTGTCTTGAATTGTATTGTAATTGTAATGTCTTCCTTATATTGTAAAGTGCTGCGCAAAGTGTTGGTGCTATATAAATCCTGTATAATAATAATAATAATAATACTTCTTTGCCCATATAGTGTTAAAGAGGGAGCCATCTGTGCCCAGTACACAGTCTGTGGATGGATACTGCTAGAAATCTTTTATACCCCAATACTTTCCCATACTTTTAACCACACATGAAAGCTTATCTTTTTTCCATTTCATCCATGTGCTTACAGTGCTGGGTAAGATCTGTAGTACAAGAACGTGTACATTTACTTATAATAGTGCCATAAGCAACAGATTTGGGAACATTTTTTATGAACTGAATTTTGCATGGACACTGGCGCTGTACTACATTTTTTCAGATTAAGCATACCTGTAAAGGAACAGTGTAAATCAGGGGTGTCAAACTTGATTTAATTGCGGGCTGCATCAGCATTATGGTTGCCCTCAATAGGCCATTTGTATCTGTAAGACTATACAAATCTACTATTTATCATATTAAATATATGCCCACTTTTAGAAGTCATGAGCCCCCCACACTCCCTTACAGTGCAGCCCCCTTACCTTGTGCTGCTGCCGGGAAGAAGCTGGGGGTGGAGCTGGGAAGTAGAAAGTGCAGGGTCTGGAGGAGGACCAGAGGAGGGCTGAAGTCAGGTGCTGAAGTCTGCTGAATGCTGAGACCAGGGGAGGCAAGGGGGTGCTGCGGCTGCAGGAGTGGTGTGAGGGCAACATGAAATGGCCTGGCGAGCTGGATTTGGCCTGGGGGGCCAGATTTGGCTCGCAGGTCTTGTGTTTGACACATGTGGTGTAAACGCTTACCTTTCCTGATGCCTGCACCACTGAACACTGCTTTGATACTGGGAAATTTTCTGCTGAAGTCCACAGGGAAACCAACTGTTTCAGCAGCACAGGCAGCAGGAAAGGTAAGTATTTATACTGTTCTTTTACAGACATGGCTTTATTTTAATGGGAGGTACAATGACAGGGTAACCTTTCACTAAACTGCCAATAAAAATGAATGTCATCTCTAAAATGATGAATTGTAACGGGCCCTTAGTTACCTACAGAATGCATTCACTGACATACTTAAAATATCACATTATGATGTCACTAAAAGAGTATGTGTGTAAGAGTGTAAAGGTATGTGAAGGTGCAAGTATACCTAAGAAATTGTTCACTTAGTGCATTCATCTTTCTGATTTCCCTGCTATAATTATTCACTGAATGGCATGTAATATAGCTGCAGTTCAATTATAATGAGACCCTCGGAACCTCATAATAATATGTAGATTCCCTGCGCACATTTGCTAAATAAGCTTTAAAACATTTCAATATTTTTAATTGCACGCTAATTATTTTCTCCAAATTAAAATACAACCATGCTCACTTGTCAAGAGTATTATATTGACCTACCTGCTCAGCTGCTCTTCCAAAACTTTCCAAAAAAGCAATCTGCACAATCTGTAAAGTAAAACATTTTTCCCAAGTACTAAGCTAGTACTATAAATAGTGAGAACTGGATTTAGCACTTTCTACAAGCTGACAAGCCTTAGTGAATTAGAGTATTTTTTTTCTCTGTATATGTCATACACAATAGGGTTGATATTCTGCCAAGACCACAGTAAGGTGCTAAATGCCAACCCTGAAAGCTGGCAAAATGTCATGACTTTAATTGAACTGTCTGGAAATTTATAGTGCAATATTGGAAGGGTGAAACATGCTTATTCTATTTCTAGCAATCTTTAATGACAAACGTTCCTTGTGTGATTTTACAAGCTGTGGCATAATAAATAATAATGTGTTCAAGCAATATTATTACCTGTTACACTCTGTTATAGCAACACTTGAATCAATGAGGGAAGAGAAGAAACAGTTGCCATTAACAACTATTTATTTCACCTTATGATGTTAAAATGTAACTCATATGACTTTTGAGAAAGATTATAGGTGTTAGCAACCCTTAATCTTTTTACCAGTTGAAAAGTAGTCTGTCACTACCTCTGTCATGTTACAAAAACAGTACAAATCTTTTTCTCTTTAATTTGGTAACCTTGGTATTAATACCGTACTCCTAAACATAGTGTCCTGGCTCACCAGAAATATGGGATATTATCCCTTTGACTGAAAGAAGTACTGTGGCCAGGCAGAGGATGTTTAAAAATGTAAACAAACCCTCACTGACATTTGCAATTGCAGGGACTGTGAAGTAATTAACCCTTAACCAATTGAGTACTAGCTTGTATATACCCCTTCATTATCAGGCCATTTTTCAGTGTTGTGATAGTTTGAATGACAATGAATGAGTCACACAAGACTGTACCAAATGAATGTTGTATATTTGTTTTATAGATAGAGTTTTCATTTGGCAGTATTCAATAACCACTGGGATGTTTACTTTATAAATTAAATTTTGGTTTGCTTACATTTACCTTTTATTTCTTTATCTTTAAACATATCCCACAATCATTAGTGGTCTGTGGCACTCTAAAAAAAACCCAACTTTTAAAAAATAGAATCTTGCAATTATTGGTGTTCAGTGGCACAAAAAAATCCAACAACTAATGGTGGGTAGCGGCACTTTAACCACCCCCCCCCACAAAACAAACCCACAATCCTTTGGTCAGTGATACTTTAAGACCCCCCATGTTTGATCTGTCACAAACCTACTTCCTGCTTGGGTTTACAAACATTCACCCAATAATGAATGTAGAAGAAAAGCTTCTTCCCTTGTAAATGGGATGAATCTTTGTAAACATTACTAGTGTTTACACTTGTGATGACTGTGTTTGGTTCACAGCTATAACATGGTAAACAGCCAAACATATTGGCTCAGTACATGGTGATTGTAATTTGAGCTGTCCAAGCAATAAATGGGCATGTTGTCTGCATGCAAGTTGTTTAAGCGAACCGGTCTCCCACTCGACTCTGTCCACATAGTTGCAGTGGCGACACCACACCAAAAGGCAGCTGCTTAAATCTAGTAGAGAACCTCCTCTTGTCTCTCAGGTCAGTAACCAGTATCAGTGACACTCTTTTTAGCTGCCTGCAATAGGGCATTCTTCCCATGTAATGGGCATTTTTAGTCCCCACGTATCACCAATGTAAGGTACATGTTCTTCCTATTGAACACCAGTATAAAGGAGAAATTCTTCAATCTTCTAACCACCAATATAAGGAGGTCCTTCTCTCATTGACTACCAATGTAAGGGGCACTTTTCAACTGACCATAAATTTTAGAGCTTCTCTGTTACCACCAATGTAAAGTGACACTACAATGTTCACCATCTGCATTTTGCCCATCCATTATTATTATTATTTAATTTGATGATTACTACTAAAAAATAATGTTGGTGTGTAGAGTAGCAGGTATTGAAAAATCATCCATCCTGGGAGTCAGATTCTGGGGGTTATTCACGAAGGAGCCAAAAGATCCAGCCATAGCTTCTGCTGATCCTTCCGAAGGGCTGCTGTACGGTATAGTCATTATAGCCTGTACAGCAGCTGAAGGCGGCCAAGTGGCTCAGCCGAGCCGAAGGCATCTGCTTTGGCTCAATTGAGCTGAAGTGACAGCCAAAGCGGTGTGAATGCTGAGACCAGGGGAGATGCTGCGGCTGCAGGAGAGGTGCGAGGGCAACATGAAATGGCCTGGCGAGCTGGCTTTGGCCTGGGGGCCAAATCCAACAATTTATTTACTCTTTGTAAATTTTTTCTACCTTTTTTTCAAATATTTTCTTTGATTTTCTATTCCGCTCAGTACCATGGAGGTACCAAGCAGAATTCACTCACTGTCGTTTGGCCCCTATGTGAATGCAGCCGATCTACGGCTTATTTCAGCCGATGTACGGTTGAAATCAGCCGTACTGAGCTGGAGTGAATAGCCGAACGTAGTTTGGCTCACTACACCAAACTACAAAGTTTGGCTCACTTCACTTCGGCTGGGTTATTCAATCAGCTTCCCTTTGGCAGCTTTGTGAATAATCCCCTCTATGTATGCCTCTGATGAACAGAAGTGCAAATCCTTTGGCAGGTGAACTGATAAACACATATCTATTTGAACTGTGTATTTAGCCATGAGATTGGAGGTCCAGCTTTAATTTCTTTGTAGTCACTGGCAAGTTCAGTATGGAATAAAGAATAAGATTAAGATGTAATTGGCACTTTGAATTTAAAGCGATTATGGCTAAATAGTATTACTTTATTCCAGACTCACAAAACGACTTTGCATATTATAGGCATTGCTGAAGATTTACATATATTACCTGTTAACCCCCAAATCACATCATTGTTAGCAGTAGCAGAGGAATAAATGGTTCTTTCAATATAACACTCTTAAATGCCATACATATTACTTTCAAGGTTTCTGCTCATATCTTTATGCAACGTATAATTTCAGTAAGTGTGACCTAATAAATATTAAAGGTTGCATTTACAGGTAAATAAATGTTTACTGCCAGGCTGTTCATTATGCTGCATATATCAACATTGACCTTTCTATGCATTTGGTTATTAGAGCTAAATTATGACTGGAAATAACAACAGAAGTGTAGCCGCAGTAGAACATCTATTCTGTTCTCTGCTGAAATGGCATCTCACAAACACCCAGGACACTTAACAATAAAAATAATCCAGGAGAACCTTAAGGAGAAAAAAACACTTACCATTCTTCTTGTAAAACATGATTTCCCCCTTGAATTCACTCTTTTCCTCTAGTGACATTTCAATTTCAAGTGTTGTCTGTTCGTTTGTTTCAGCACCATATAAAAATTTACAGCTGCAACTCTTCTGCATGACTTCCATTCGAGCAAACCCAGCAAGTTCACAGAAGCCATCTGAACAGTAAACTATAGGGAATCCCTTGGCCACCTGAGCATTTGCAAGTATGAAGTTACTGTCTGTAAAACAAATGCAAAATAAAAATATATATTTATATTTGTATAAAAAACATTTCGTATGTCACATTTGTCATGGTGGCAACAGAATTCCCCTATCTAGATATGTTTATAAATACATCAATATGCTACCTCACATGCAAGTACACTATTGCAATTACTAGTTTATACAAATATTCTCTAGAGACACAGTAAGAACATAGGCTGAAGTGTGAAAACAGTATGCTGCAATCTGCTGTGTTTAAATAAAGGTATAGACTCAGAACTGCTTGCCAGCTTCATATACCCCAAAGGTTTCAGGATATTAACAAAAATAACGCACTGCCATTTCCACACTTCCTGACCAGAGCTGCTACAACTAACTCCCACTTTAAATACTTTTTCTAGCAATTTTATTGTTAAGGGGGACCTGGAAACCTTTTTTTTGTCTGTGCTCCAATTGGGGGGATGTTCCCTGACTTTCTGTCTCTGTGATAACCTTCAAAAAACAGGTGGCATGGTAACAAGCAAAGACAGCAGTTACAAATTTGTTAAAAACTCTAACCCTTCCTTACTCTCTGGGAGAGACTTCCTGACAGGAACTCTTCCCAAAAGGGACACAGGCACAGGCAACCATTTTGTAATCTCAAATTTTAGTATTCAGCATTTCTTTCTACATATGTAAATTTAGGTTGAAAAGGGTTGAGTTACAGCTGTCTCCACCTTTCCATAATGTCCATATTTAAACTCGTGGGTTATACAATTTATTTTTTTTTTTTAACGTGTCCATGTATATCTGAATTTGCATAATGTAAGTTATGACTACAGTATAAAATCCAAATCATATTTCTTAATATAAAATAAAAATAAAAACAGTAATAAAAGATGATTTCCACTCTATAAAAACCATACATCCACAATATACTCAAAGATACATGGACATCTAAAGAACCCAATTTTTTGCATAACTCACAGACTTAAATATGGATTGTTAAATGATGGATGTGGTGTCCCATAATGTACTCTCTGTGCTGCCTTCCTCACATTATATCTTTCCAAGACCACCATACTGCATTGGATAGTTCCATATTTCATATATAAGTGCATATGTTAAACTTTAAAAAGTTAGCTATTTAAATATGTTTAAAAAAATCATTCTTTAGAGCTAACAAGTAAGTACACAAATGAAATGCATATATGGGAGCAATTGCGTAAAGCATTTGTATTTCTGTCCAGTGGTTCCTCACATTTACACAGCTCTGTCACAAAGCACATTCCCTTCTGGCAGGGCAGGAGTCCTTATTTTTCCCTGTTCTGTTTGGTAACACAGGTCTCCTCCCCACCCCACCCTGCGACTTTACAGTGCAAAGAGAAGAAGCAGATGGATGCGTTCATCTCCCTGTCGCTCTGCTCCTATCAGCATGCTCATTGTTAGCACATGAGCTCTGTAACATAACTGATTGGCTCCCACTTCCGACCCTCCCACAGTCTGAGTGCTGTCATGTGTAATAAAGAGGCTGATACCAAGCCAAAATAATATATTCATGTAAATATTTATTAATTGATATAGTGCTGCATGTCTTTTATATCTGTCTTGAGTTCAGCTTTAATCAAAATTGTGGTCTGCCATTGCTGATTTTTTTCACATTGCTAGTTATCTGGCTATCATACTGATCCAATGGCCACAATTAATGTAACAAGTGAAGTGGACATAAAGTAATTTCTCTGTATATTGGTTTCAGGTCAATGAAGCCACCAAATGAACAAGACAGCCAGGCAACTAGAACAAAAACAAATCATCAATAGTAGCCTGGCTCTTTCTGACATTGCAGGTTGGTGGAACAACAAATCCCATTCGGCATTGCAAGACTGACATCAACAGGCATGACTCCCTGAGGCAAATGCATAATGAGATTTGTAGCTTCACCACAGCTAAAGGCCCGAAGTTTGCCCACCCCTGTTCTAAAGTATTAGCTCAGCCATTTTTTCCGGCTTTGAATAGAATGGAGGATGATTGCAACCCTTTTCTGGTTTTCAATCCAGATCTCAGTTACTTACCAGATCCCTTACTTTCTGTCCCAGTTATAACATTGTTATTAGACAGGAACCGAAACAATGGGGACACAGAGATTAATAGAAATCTGACAGTGGTTCTAGACTTCCCTACTTGCCTATTACAAAATATTTAATTTTTTCTCGGTTTTGCTATTGTAGAGTTCTTCTCACTTCCTGTCCGCTAAAACAATGTCAGTAGGATTGAAGGTGAGAGGAAGTTCTCTAACGGATCCTCGGAAAAAAACAGAAACCCAAAATGGGTTATGTTTTTTTTCTCACTCCATCCAAACTAAAAAAGCTATTTGGCTGGACATACACTTAAAGTACTAGTGTAAGTTTTGTAAATATGCATTTTGAGTTTTTTTTATATGTAGCTCCTTCGCCCTAAACAGAGTGGCTCTTTAAATTTAGTGGTGCTGGAACTGTAACCAGTTTGGCTCATTTGTAGTTTATGGTCAATTGGTCATTCCTAGGGGTTCTGTTGTTGTCTGCACCTGCCTGCTGGGGGGGGTGTGACCCTGCCACAGAGTGGGGCAGCCAATGAGAGAATGTTGGGGGTGCCTGTGTCTCACCAGCCAATCACTAGGAATTTCATGGTCAGTGGGGAATGCTGGGAAGTGCATAAGTACGCAGGAATTGCCATGTGCTCAAGTCAGTCTGCCCCCAGGCCTAGGTCAAGATGGCTTGAACCTCAGGAACAAGTCAAGTGTCTCTGCCAGGGAAGATCTCATGTATGTCTTCTGTCCAGATGTGGCTCTATTACACAGTGTCATCCTCTGCTCAACTAAAGTATTCCTGCACTGTGGAAGCTGGAAGGGACTGGTGAGTGTGGAGTTTATTTTATCCATAGATGTCTGTAGCCCTATACCCTCTATCCCAGCTTAGCTGTTGTGCAATAAAGCATTAACGTATATACTTAAAATGACTGGAGCTCAATTTGATGTTCACATCCCACAACCCAGCTAAGGATCCATCCCTGAGAGTGAAATGTCTGCCCTTCCTGCCTCTATGGTTCACCACATGCACTTGGGGGTCAGGAGGGCACTACAAATGTTTACTAAAAAGTTCCTTTTTTAAATGTGATCTTCATATTTCTAGATAACTGTTGCTCTATATATATGTATCATTATATTTTATTTATAAAATACATATACTGCATATATATATTTTCCTTTTAGTGGCAGTTCATTTATGAGAAAGGTAAGCAGCATCACTTAGCAGATCAATAAACTAGCAATGAGAGACAAAGAAAGAGAGGAAAAGTACAAACACTTTACAGGACTACTATTCAGGTTGCATTTATTACACTCTTTCCATCCACAGAACACAGAACAAGCATTTTGCTATTGCTGTTTATATAACACTTTAAAGGAAACCTGAATTTGGAGAATATGTAGGGAATATGCGCCATTACTGTATTTTGATAAATATTCACAGTGTATATAAAATGCAGAAAAAGCCAAACAAGTCACAGCAACACGAAAGTCTGCCAGACTCAGTAAACACTAATGAGTGCTGAGGACACATGGTTATAAATATTTCACAGCTCCAGCCAGCAGCAGGAAGGAGTGCCAGATCTAAATGTGGGTACAGCAGGCAGTACAGACAACAGTCATTCCGTGGACAACATAGTTCTTCGAAGCTAAGAAATGTTAAGAGTATCTCCATATACTGGTACTTCAAATACAAACCCAATGACTGAGGTTATATGACTGAAAAGACAAAGCTTTTAAAAATAATTGCAAATATAAATAAAAGAACAATAAAAAGGTATAAGGATACATTCACACCAGTGCTCAACTGCATGGCTACTGGTGTGCATGTCCCCAGAAAGTGCCAATACGCTTGATTGAGCCTTATTGCACTGTTTCATTCTTTTTTTGTTAGAACTTTATTAAAATGTCACAAGTGACATTTCATTCAGTTCTATGTGTTCACTGTGGTGTGATGTGGTTGTACCGCATCTCATTGCAGTGTGCTTGAAAAAAATACTGTACGCTGTAGTTTTTTTAAGCACACACCACTGGAATCCGGTGGTGTGAACCGAGCCCATACATGACAAGGCAAAGTACGCAGATGGTGTGAACCGGCCTTAAATCACAGCAGAATACTAAGAGACAGATACATTATTAAAATATTACATAAACTACTATCTACGTTACCTTAACTTAATCTCATAGGAAAACAGAGTTTATTATGGCCTTCACAAAAACAGAGTATTAAATGGGCAGGGCCCACCTTACCATCTTGTTTTGAATTGTATTGTAACTGTAATGTCTTCCTTACATTGTAAAGCACTGTGCAAACTGTTGGCGTTATAAAAATCCTGTATAATAATAATAATAAAACTAATAGTTTATTAAAAATTAAAACAATTATTTAAAACAGTATTTAAAATAACAGGAAATAAGTTCCTATTTAAAGTGTATTCTTAGCCATAACATTTTAGAAAAGGTTTAACTAAAGTAGAGAACAATTAGAACCCCTCAACCTCTCAGAGGTTTTACATTTCCTTTCTGTCTCTGTGACAATGGTAACAAGGACAAATAAAGGGGTGAATCTTAGCAGGGACACAGATATCAATGAAAACTTAACAAAGGGCTAAACCATTACCTACTCTATCCAAAGCTAAATGATTTTACATACATTTCATTTTGCATAAACTTCACATGATAACATAGATATCTACTTTCTTCAGTGATATGTGGTGGTTCTAATTTGAAATATGTTATTTAACCAGAATAATTGATAATAAAAAATCTCAGCTGTAATGTGCTATATTTTCAAGTAAATTTGTAAGAATATAAACATTTTTTTTACAGATTATATTCATTAGAAACATTTTTAGGTTAAAAATACAAAAACAGAAAAATAAAAATGAGGGGCCGAAACCCACGTGTCTCCAGAATACATTGCACCAATGATAACAAGAAACAAAGGCCAAGAGTAAACGGTTAAAGCATTGTTAA